GCAGAGGCTGGAGGCGGCCGTCCACAACGCGTCGACCGCCCGCGCGCCCGTCTTCATCTTCGCCGGCCTGTCGCCCTTCACCATGGACGGCGAGCACCGCGGCAGCCGCACCGAGTACATCCACTGGATACAGGACGTGCCGGACCAGAAGCACATCGTGGCGCAGTACTGCCGCTACGCCGGCGAGGTCAAGACGGGCGCCAACGTCAAGCAAATGGTCAACCGCGCGCTGCAGTTTGCCAAGTCGGCGCCCCAGGGCCCCGTGTACCTGTGCGGCGCGCGCGAGATCATGGAGGCGGACATTGGGCCGTACCGCCTCAAGCAGGAGGACTGGGAGCCGGTCCGGCTCGGCGGTCTTGCCGAGAGCGGCGTGGCCAGGATTGGTAATTGTCGTCGTCGACTGCGACGTTCCCTGGGTCCCGACGCTGTGCAGGCCCAAGGACGGCGCGGCCGTGTTCCACGTCGACGTCGACCCGTTGAAGCAGCTCATGCCCACGTTGTACATCGAGGCCCAAGAGCGCTACAGGGCCAATGCCAAGACCGCCATTGACCAGATCACGGCGGCTCTCAGGACCGGCGACGCGGCCGCGAAGCTCCAGGCGGCGGATGGCAGGGAACACGCCGGCAGAGTGCAGGCAGAGCACAAGCAGCTCCTGGCTAGCATCCAGGACAAGGCGGAGCCGCGGCCGGACGGGAGCTTTGGCACGGGTCACCTGTGCCGCACGCTCAAGTCGCTGTGTCCAGAGGACACCATCTACGCCGTCGAGGCAGTCACAAACGCCAGCTTCGTCCACGACAACATCCAGCCCACCTTCCCCGGGTCCTGGATCAACTGCGGCGGCGGCGGGCTGGGCTGGTCTGGCGGCGCGGCGCTGGGCATCAAGCTCGCCACCGAGGCCGAGAGCCCCCCGGGCAGGGGCAAGTTTGTCGTGCAGATTGTCGGCGACGGGACGTACTTGTTCAGCGTCCCCGGGAGCGTGTACTGGATCTCGAAGCGGTACAACATTCCCGTTCTTACGATTGTGCTGGACAATAAGGGTAATCATGGCTAAACTTATGTAAGGAAAAGATTGTCACTAATGGCGCTACAGGCTGGCAGGCACCCCGACGATCCATGTTGTTGGTCCATCCCGACGGGCTCGGATCCAAGTGCGTTCTGTCGATGATGTTTTTTATAGATGAGCATGGGACGTACGAACTAGTCAGGGGTGTGAGCGTGGCGGGTTGTTAGACTTGGGGCATTGATAGTTGACACGGCAAGGGGAAGAAGACGGCATCTATGAGATAGATGTATGGATGAATACGAGGTATAGAGGGTAATACGGCGACATTGTATCGCCTCGCCTGTGGACTACGTGACCACGTATGCGGGTGGCTGATAACCTCCACGTCAGTTTGCTGGCCCACAGACAAGGGACTTGGGAGATTCCCGAGACAGGGATAATGCATACCAGATGCTCACTTGGCGTTTGACTCTATTGCAAAGGATAGGGGACCCGTTGGATGTGGGGGAACACGAGGTGTGATGGGGTCCCTGCATGCGAATTGCTGGGGTTGTAGATCTGCTGATGTAGCCTGGGGACATGTTCCATGCTGGCTAGGAATCTGGTTGGCTGGCTGATGTTGTTGTTCGGGTTGGTGTTGTATCATCTGTCATGTCGTCTTGTGGCGGCACGGCAGCTACGGGAATCCGGGGTGGGGGCTCCGTATGTATGAGTGTGGAATTTTCGTTATCACGCCATTGAGTCACTTTATAATACGATGGATGACGATGACGATGACTGATACGACGGGATACGAGTTGACAGCATGTCACCCGGTAGATACCGTTGGTTGAGGGATGCAGGCGACGACGTGTGATGAAATGTGAATTCGCAAAAATAAAGGCCGCCGACCCGGCATGTACCTATTGGAGCAAGATTAAAGGGCGAAGGTCATTTGCGATTTGCTCACCTGTGCCTAGAAGAGCCTCGTGGTGCCAAGATGGAAGTAAGAAGACCAGGAGTGGGACAATACATAGTTACATACTTTGTCCGCACTTGACGGGTAGCAAATTGGCACCAGACTGCTTTGCATGTGATGGCCGGGATCAATTCTACCCATCAGTCCGCAGATTGCGACCCCACAGACGCGGCCTTTATTTGCGCCATGGTTGCGTCGAGCGACGTCTGGCCTCGCAGGTTGCCATGGCTGGCTGCTCTGCTGGTGGTTTATTGCCATCGCACCTTTGAATGTTGCCATCGATGACGCCGCTCCGAAATTCACCATGGCCATCACCGCACCTGAATTTCAAGGCTTTGCATCCAAATGCAACTCTCCTCCGTCGTGCGTCAACATGTAGGTGGCATCGCTTTGATAAGCCTTTACATGTTTCCTTATTTCCGCGCCGCATTCCCTGCGGTCGTGTTCCGCATCCAGAGCGGGGTTAATTTCATTTTATCCATCATTTGACATGTTACTTTTTTTTTCTTGGCCCCTCCCATGGCCCGCTTGGCACTAAACGATTCAGGGTCTCCCTCGTGACGATCCCCGTCAACCACTTGAACCCACCTCAGTTTTGATTACCCAACAAACTCTCGCGCCCGAATTTTTTTTCTTCTTGTCGTGTATTTCCATCAACCCGTCAGTCTGCGGCATTCGTAACTGTGTGGACAGTCGGATATATCATGAATAAGCGTCAGACAGCTTTTCTATCCCATCTGAATTATCTCGGACGCCACCTGCGCATCCGCGACGTCGTGTCGTGACCGCGACTGACCTGTCGACAACTCTTTTTCACAGCCCCCGCCATCTACCGCCGACCGCACTCTGCACTTCCGACAGTGGCCATGGCCGACACGAACCAGCAACTTGCGATTGCGGACCGCCCTCAGATACAGCGGGATGCCTCCGACGCTGCAGCGCGAGCCGCGGTCCCTCCCTCCCCCCCGGTGCCCTCGTCCGATCCCGGCCTCGCCATGGTCGATGGTCACGGCGGCGGCGCTGCCGACGAAGACGACCTCTTCAAACTGCCCGCCGTCGAAGCGCTGCGCCTCCTCAGCGCCAGCGTCGAGCTCCTGGTCCGCATGACGGGCGACATCCCCCCGACGCCGCCGCCCAAGACGCCCACCGACCCCCAAATGACGGGCATGCAGGTCGAAAAGGACGACATCGTCCGGTCGCACTCCCAGCAGAGCCTGGCGCGCATGAGGCAGCAGGCCGAACGGGCCGCCGCCGCCGCCCACCGGCAAGACGGCGACGCGCCAGCGAGGAGCGGCATGAGCAGACTGCAGGCCTACAGCGCTTCCATGTCGGCCCAGCTCGCGGCCCAGCAGCACGGCGCGTCTTCGGTGGCGCCCGCGTCCGCGGAACCGGTAGACGGCGTACGGCTGCGCCAGCACCCGGAAGCCGACGTGCAGCCGTACATTATTGTCGGCGCCGACTCCCGGCCCGTCAACCTCCAGCACGGCGCGATAACGCGCAAGTTCTACAGCAAAAAGGAGCCGCCGATCCCCATAAGCCAGTATCTGCTGCGGCTGCACAGATTCTGCCCCATGAGCACCGCCGTCTACCTCGCCACGTCTCTCTACATCCACCGGCTGGCTGTCGAGGAGCGCGCTATCCCGGTGACGAAACGCAACGCCCACAGGCTGGTCCTCGCCGGGCTGCGCGTCGCCATGAAGGCGCTCGAGGACCTGTCGTACCCGCACGCCAAGGTGGCCAGGGTAGGGGGCGTCAGTGAGGTCGAGCTGGCGCGGCTGGAAATCAGTTTCTGCTTCCTGGCCGGGTTCGAGCTCGTCGTCGGGGAGGCGCCGCTGCGGAAACACTGGGAGGAGCTGCGGGACGGCAAGGCGCAGCAGGCTCTGAAGGGCATGGATGTTCCGACCTTGAAGTTGACCAAGAGGCCTAGAGAGATGGCCCAAGCGAGCGGGTGACTTATACACACACACACACACATAACGGATGGGGGCATGGGACAGGGAGGATTTGTGGGGCGGGCATCTTGGTGTTTGGCCGGCGTATACAAGGTCTTTGGGTAGCGAATGGGTCGCGCCTTGGGTAGGGCGTGTGTATTATTAGAACGGCAAGGGGGTGGCCGCGTAATGGGTGACGGGCTAGCGAGTGGCAGGGCGGGCATGATGCATCGAGTCCATGGCGTTGTGTTAGCGGTTTTTTTTTTAATGTGAACAGCCACTTTCTTGGTCTTGCTTTCGTGATCGCTTATGCTGAGTGGGGTGGTACAATTGCAAATGATGGTTTTGAGCCCCTCCTCAATATGGGGATACATACCTAGGTACCTAGGTATGTAGTAGCTTCGGGACGGTCTGCAAGCGTTGCAAGGCCCAAAATGCCACTGCGTGCTTATCTGGGTATCGCAAGTTTACGAGGCGGAAACGGGCAAGGGAGACCACGTGGTTCCTATGCGGATGGTAACAGAGCGGCCGAGTTGAGTCAAGATGGCGCGTGTGCTTTGCATTGTCAGCACTTATGTACAGTGGTGAGTGGCCAAGGTAGCTTGTGGTCTTTTAAACGCGGCGATTTTCCAGCTACGTTATACTCGTTGGTCTGAAGGCGATGCCCTTGGCTTCCACGTCTTATCACGACAGAATATCACGTCTTCATCACAAAAGTAGCACAAGAACAGGTCGTTTTGTTGCTCAAAGGAGCGTAACATGGTATCAATTAACGAAGCTATGACATTATAATCTCAGTCTTTGCAGGCTAGGTTTTGAAAAGGAGCGAATTGCTAGTAGCGAGACAACGAAAACCCATGTCAAATTGCCCAATCTGCCATTTTACTCCCCCCCAATTCAATAAAATACCATCAATTGCCAGTTTGCAAAGAAAGGATTGTGCGTGCAGTGAACGTTATAAAGGTCGTGTGTATCATAAGTCAAGCCATCGGATCGGACTTTTAGGTGATGGTGATGCGGCGCGTCTCCGGCTTCTTAGCCTTGGGCACGGAGACGCTCAGGATGCCGTCCTTGAAACTGGCCGAGACGGCGTCATGCTGCACCGGCGTCGGGAAGTTGAAGGTGCGAGAGAACTCGCCCACGCTGCGCTCGGTAAGCCAGTACTTGTACTTGGGCTGGGGCTTGGCCTGCGCCTGCTCGACGGCGTGTTCGCCGCCGCCGGCGCCCTCGTCCTCGACCCTTGCCTTGTGCGAGCCCTCGCCTTCGGTGATGGCGGGCTTCTCGGTCACATCTTCAATCTGACCGGCCGACGGCGTGCCCTCGGTGTGGGAGCGCTCGGCCCTGCCGCGAATGGACATTGTCTGCGGCTCCGTGAATTCAATTTGGACCGTGTCCTTGTTCATGCCGGGCAGCTCGCCGTGCAGCTCGTATGCATCGTCCGTCTCGCGGACGTCAAACTTGGGCTGCCAAATGGGGGCGCCTGCGCGTCGGCCAATTTGTTGGCCGCCTGCCTGACGGGTGTAGGTGTCAAAGTCATCGAGGAGGCGGAAGAGCGGGGTGAAGGACGAAGCGTCGGCTTCGTAGAAACCTCGTGGGAAGAAAGACATTGTGCGTGGTGGCGTGGTGATGGCTGGGACGATGTTGCGTTGCAGAGTTCGTAAAATGCCTGTAGGCCGAGATGCTCTGAAGCACTGCATACAATTATTCTTGGTGTTTTGTGTTGTCAAGATGTGTTGTTGGATTGATGATGAGAAAGAGGGAATGACGGTCGCCTTTTATAATTAGGAAGAAGACGGAGCAAGAGGCAGTGCCGGCGGGGCCTGCGGAAAAAAACACGCCAGTGTGGTTGATTTCTAGCAACATCTAGAAATCAACTACGCAACGTTGACGTATCGAGATGCCTGGGCTGTGGCAGTTGGAAAGCTTCAGATGCCAGTTGAAGCTGCTGGTTCTGTGGCGATGTCTCCAGAACCTACCAGAACCTACCAGAGGGGACCTGACCACCCGATCGGGCAGGTGGGGCTGTCAAACTTGCCACTGTGGCACCAGCCAACGCTAGCTGGTCAGATGCTGCCGTGGATAGCCTCCGGGTGCCGTGGAAGAGCCCAGACCTCCACATAAACCCGCTAAGAGCGCCATTATTAGTTTCTTGGCGTTTCTATACAGCTCTGGATGCAAATCCAGACATGTTACGTTTGTATCACCTCAGGGATTGTTTGATCGGGCTGATTTCTGCCATAACAAGGTGACGCCAGCCCATGCCTATCATGGGAGGAGTAAACTGAATAAACAAGCAACGTCTTGGGCATTTCCGCGCCACACAAGATGCTTCGCCTGAGTACGGCACACAAGGGACCAAGTAGGTGAGTTTCGATTTCCACCACTGACGCTCCAAAATAAGAAGGATGTCAATCTACAAGTCGTCAACATGCCGCGGGAGCCAGTCCCTTGGTGCACTATGGTACCGTGGTACGCATCCTGAACGGCGTTGTGCTAGATTAGCAATTGATTCCACCGTCTTGGTGCAAAATTCTTTGCCATACCTATCAAATTGAGAGCTTCCGTAATCTGCTTTTGGTGATTCTCAACGAAGGTAGAACTGTTGCCTCAAGGTGCCTAGTGCTGGTACCTAGGACAGCGCATCATATCAGCATGAGTTCGCTTCCCATCCTATCACCCGGCCGTCGCTCTCGGCCAGAGGAAATTGGAACGAAACATTTTCCCCAAAACTTATTTGACGCGAATTTCATGAGACCTTGCTGACAAGCTGGCAATCCTTGCCCCTAAGACCCCTTGGATGCGCAATTATATCCAGGTAAACCAATGAGATAGCCCGCTCAATATAACGACATTTCATCTTACCTGTAATGCGCTCGTCTTACCTGTAATGCGCTCGTGTTTCGGACGCCCGAAATTGCAATGTCTTTCCGTACTGCTGCGTCATGAACAAGACCTCTAGGCGGCTTAAAAGCGACAAGTAAACGTCTGCAACTCATTAGCCTATCATCACTCGGCACTCTCTCGTTCTCTATGCTCACCAGTAGCCAGCCACCGACGGCCCAAATACTTGAGCGAAAGGCGCATCGCCTCTGCATTCTTGGTATCCAATGAATCCGAGTCCTGGCCCAAACTGCGCTTCATGCAGACAGCGGATACCTTGTACATGAGATACGGCAAAAACGGCGATATAAAATCGCACAATCTTGCGATAAAGACGTCGGAGAATTGGAGCGACATATTTAAAGCGGCTTGCAAAATCGACGAGGTTTCGCTTGATAGGACACTCGTGCCATACTGTTGATGCCCTTGGGGTAACAGCGTCGGGTGGTCAAGAAGCAAGATGCCACTGTGTGTCAGTTAGCCTGTAGTGTAGAAAGCCACGGTCCTTTAGGGCAAAAACCTGCCTGTAGCAAGCTGCCATTTGCGTACAGAGCTCCAACTGTCTCATATCGGCCTCGATTCTAGAGACATTTACCAGCGAGAAGATGGTCCGTCTCAGTTGCGTCGTATCAGTCGACTTGTCGGCTACTTGGTGCAGCACTTGGCTCAGCAGGTGCGCGGCTTGTGCGAAGCGGGCGAATCGGCCGAGGCGGAGGCTGATGGCAGATCCGAGCGTGAATGCATGTTCGGCACCAGATTTCTGTTGAACGAAGGGCATTAGCAGCATGATGAAGTAGTCATGTTGGAAAGTCACTTACTCCAGAGTCCCATTCCTCATCATCAATGGGCAGATAGCTAGTTGAATCGGGGTCTGCAGTGACGAGATGGCGCATTGGGTCGCAGAGATTCATGAATCTACTTGCATCAACAACGCTGGTCCTCGGTGCGAGCCCAATCCCAAGATCACTTACCTATCGAGAACTAAAATGGACCACCACACCCGACGAGCTTCTTCCAAGTCTGGCAACGTGGTTGTGCCCATCTCCCTAGAGATAATCGTCTTATCAACCCCAAGTGCGGTACCATATCGAGCACACTGCGCAACAGAAAGGTATGCATCAGGGTACAGCCCGTGACCCATCTCATACAGCGCAATAAGGATACCAGCTTGCAGCACTAGCAGACTCAGGGTTCCGGATCGCTCAATGTCAGCATAGAGCCGTCGAGCAGTCCGGTAAAGATTCGTCCTGGCATTCGTCACACGCGAACTGCACAGCTTCATTGACAACACCAGCAGAAACAACTCGGCTCGCTGGTGTGTCATTCTCTTGATAAGAGACTGCGAGAACCCATTTTTGGAGACGATGGGCATCCAGGTGTGCACCGTCTCGAAGAAAAATTGAGTCGTGGCCTGTATATCCTGCACATCTCCAACCAAGGCCTCCACATCATCCGTAATAAGGGACTCTAATTCCAACTTGGGAAGCTCAAGCTGCGCAAACGCAAACAGCTCCGGATCCATGAACCGCTCCGCCAACAAGTTGGCAGCAGTTGCCGACACCACTGGCACTGGGCGTCGGGCCAAGGACGACTCCGGGCTGGCTACACTCCCGGCAGCCGGTGATGTCGCTTCAGAAGAGTTTCTTAATTCCCTCCTTTTCCGACGATGGGGATAGAAACATATAATATTCTTTCTAGAGGTCTCGGGTTAGATGTCGTACATGGGAGCTTGGGTGGTTGCTTACTGTGTGCAGAGGGTGCACTCCGGATGAACACGATCGCATTTTCTCTTTGCCTCGCGACATCCCAGACACGAGTATGGAGACACCGAGACTGAAGGCAGGGATTCCGTGGGCATTATAACCAAAAAGCTTGTTCATGTCATCACGAAACGGGAGTTGAGGGGTGATATGGGGGACTGCGGACTTTTGCGGTATTAAGTGGGGCTAGTAAAGGTCGTTGCGGCACTTTACGGACTTTTATGGGCTTTTGCGGACAAATGGCGGCATTTCGGCCCACAAAAAAAGCATCCCAGCGCCTGTCACTCCTGCGATCAGCCACTAGACTCATTATTAATTATTCCGGCAAACATCGTCACAGAAAGAAGCTCAGAATAAAGAGTAAGCAGCTTTTCTTTGGCGGTTATAACTCCCGGAAATTCCGATAAGGGGGCTCGACACTTTGTCCTATGGACAGAGCATAAATAAATTTGCAATGGCGCGATGCTTAGCAATACACGGACCTGATGATGGAATCATGTTTCTCGAGGTGCATATAAGGAGTTCAGCCCGGATCAATAAACAACATCTCCTCAGACCAGCACTATTACACCAGTTCCAGTTTAAAGTCGCCGTCTAAATACTACCCTTCACTCCAATCACAGCACAATCTAGGCACAGACTAGTTTTGCTTCAACCCTACAATAAACTCACCATCAGACCCTAAACTACAAGCACAAGCAAAATGGTCGAAAATCTCGTACTGGTATGTCTTCTCCGCATCCAACATGGTTACACAATATCTAACAATACCCCAGTTAACCGGGGCCACCGGCATGATTGGCTTCAAAACCCTCGCCGAGCTCCTCGAAAACGGGTACACCGTCCGCGCGGCCGTCCGCAACCAGGCCGGCTTCGACAGGATCTCCTCCCTGCCCTCTGTGCAAAAGTACAAGCCACAACTTACCAGCTTCATTGTCCCTGACATTACCGTCCCCGGGGCCTACGACGAAGCCGTCAAGGGAGTGAAATACATTGTGCACATTGCGTCTCCACTAGCAGGCAACAATGGACCAGACTATGAGAATTCTCTCATCCGGCCTGCCATCCAAGGCACAGTGGGAATACTCGAGTCTGCTCTCAAAACCACGGGGATTCAACGGGTGGTCATCACAGCCAGTGTGGCATCGATTGCGAGCAGTGCGCGAATTGCAACCGGCAAGGTCGTTGACGGTAGGTCCATCATCCCCTGGACATCCGGCAATGCCAGAAGAGCCTTCCCTCACGCTGACAACCCGCAGAAAACACTCTTGCAGTCGAGACGAAACCTCCATTTGCAGACGACTTTGCGGCCTACGCTGCCTCCAAGGCCCTCGCGTACCAAGCTACCAAGGACTTTGTCGCCGCTAGCAAGCCGCCCCTATGATGTGATTAACATTATGCCGGTGTTCGTCTTTGGCCGCGACGAAACCGTCACCGAAGCAAGCTCAATCGCCAAGGGGACCAATGGCATCCTCATGGGCCCCATTCTAGGCCATGCGCGGGACTACCCCTTCGGTGTTGCTGGCGTGCACGTCGACGACGTCGCCAAGATGCATGTCCTCGCGCTGGATCCCAAAGTCGCCGGAAACCAGGATTTCCTGGCTGCCTCGGCGGAGCCTGGAAGCGTCGACTGGGCAGAGTCGTTTGAGATTGTCAAGAGACGATACCCTGAGGAGTACGCGGATGGCGTGTTCAAGTTTGACAGCATTGCGAAGCCGGCTACCACGGTGGCCAGGGTGGACAGTACAAAGGCCACAAGAGTTCTGGGGGTTCAGTTCAAGCCGTTTGAGGAGCAGGTTGTTTCTGTTGTGGATCACTTTTTGGAGCTTATTGGCAGAACGTCATGGTTGCTGGCATTACGTGCCATTGGTTGGGGCGGCTTTACGCCGGTGAAGAACGTTTGTGTTGCTCAGACTCACGCGACTGGAATATGAGAATCTTGTGGGTTGAGCTAGACAGTCAGGTGCAATGTAAAGAATGGGTGCATTTCTGGATAGAACATATTGGAAGGGCATGGATTCGGCTCTATTTTGTCATGTCCGGTATACTTGGTCTTCTGTCCACGAGAACTATTGACAGTGACGGCGAATACATTGCTTATCTACAAATGATGGAAGTATAGCCTGCGAGAGCTATAAAACGCTAGTCTTTCTTTGTCTCGTGGATTCATTTTGACAATCGAGACCATGGCGACAAGTCGGACAAGCGGCTTGATTTCTCTATTGTTTAATCTACGAACCATCTGACAACTAATTAAAGTTCTGGCGGCGCCCATACCATTGGCTAGTAATCTAGTGTTTATACTCATTACGACATTTCGGCTTTACGGCTAAGGTGCGATGATGTTCAAGATTATGAGATCTGAATACATGGCTATCTTGCAGAACTCATGCACTACCATGGGTACAGTAACGGGGCGTCCCGGAGAGTATGTGGCGAGCACGATTGCCTTCAGGATCTAGGAAATCTAGTCGTGTGTTGACAATTCTAGACCACTACCGCTATACTTGTCTGTCAAAAAAGTTACATGGTGATGGGATACGCTTCGCCGGCCATTGCTATCCGCCATTGCTATCCGCCATCAATGCCCGGTGATTCAATCAAACAGTCAAGTATTCGGATCGATAGCGTCAAGTCAAGCACAGACTTTTGCTCCAACTCTTGCCAATATATTGTAGTCTATTACAATAATCATCAACCCCAGGCTACACAGTCCCCAGCTCAAGCCACGCCCGGCGATGCCAACGCACCACATCTACACCAGCACAAGAAGCCGCGTCTCCAAACATGCGTCTCCATCAAAACCCCCGAAAACCACCGTCACAACCTCCGCAAGACGCTTGACATCTGTCGCTCTCCAAGCCTCCAACACACCCAGCATCTCGCCGTACATCGCCGCAATACCCAGCAAGTCGTCAAACACCCTTCAGCCTCCACGCAACTCCATCCACACCACCCGTCCTCCACTCCCTCACTCCACAAACAATGGCCACTCGTTTATCAAATCGCCAAGGCCGCGCCCTCCTCATTCCCATCCCATTCCCGATGTGTCACCAGACCGTGGAAACCACCCCCGACATCATTAGGCCACGCAAAAAAGCCCAGCGTGTCTGGCCAAAATCAAGAAACAAAGCACGGCATAGCACAAATCCATGTTATCAGAAGGGAATGGCACATCCTCCCTCACGAGCGCTTGCAACGCCCGTGCACGCACGCCATTCACTTGCAAGAAACAACCCTGAATCAATATCAATTTAAAAAAAAACGCCCAGGTAAACCAGGAGCAAGCACCGACCAGACTTTTTCCACTTCGGCTACCACGCACAGGCAGCAGCGGGGCACCTGTCTGTGCAAGTTTCTGCAAAGAGCTCAAGCTAGGACTGAGGCATCAGTGCCCCGCGGCTCATCGATGGGCATTATTCGGTCTGGTGCCGGGGGGGGCTGAACAAAAGCCCCTGATCAAGTCTCGATTGTTGCAGTTGACGGGAGAAGGAATGCCGGCAAGAAACGGCTGCGAAACGCAAGATCACTCGTGACAAAGGCCCTGTAGGTTTGTGAGTCAATGGTGCTAGGGCCTGCCGATTGGATGCCACTTGTGTCTGGTGCATGGTGTGGGTAACACTGCAGAAAAGGCATACTGCATTTTTGGCACGGGGCGTGTGTGTGGGAGGTGTGATGGTGTGGGTTGAGGTGAGTGATTGTTGATTGCCGCGACTTGCCATGGTGAGGTCCGTGATGGGTAAGTTGCGATCAAGTTGGATTCTTTGTTAAGACTCTTTCCTGAGGCTTCGGGACAAATGGTTCACTGGTATTCCGACTGAGTGACATGGCTTGGTAGCCGTATCTTCTTACTTGGCACTTTAGGGTAAGCTTTAATGCTTGCACTTCACAATTGAACAACAGACACAACCCTAGGAGATATGAACACTCATGAAAAATTCAAGCCTTTTCCATTCAAAGTCTATCCTTTCCCTGTCCGTTTCTAGGTATCTCCAATTCCAAATAGCTCGCTTTCAAGTACTGTTGTCCCAAAACTGTCAAACATTACAATGCCAAGTCAAGAAAAGTTACATCTTGTACAAATGGAAGCATATACATCACTCCCACCGGTATACTCCATCTGTATATTCAACGCGAGGTCGCCGGCTCCCGGGTCCGACTGTAGCCCGGCGTCGCGGCAACATTCGCTCCATCAGCCTCTCCTTCTGGGCATCTTCTTCGTCACGCTTGGAAGAGCGACCTCGGTCGTGCCGGGCCTGCTCCTTAATTTCAAGTCTCCGAATCTTCTCAAGGACTTCCTCCTCTCGGTCTCCCAAATTATGCGTGGCCTTGGCAGCGGTGGATGACCGCCTCAAAGTAGGGGGCAGAGGAACTGCCTCTCGGCTGGCAATTTCCGCGTTGGCTTTGGCAATACGAGCACGAAGCCTCTGCTGGCGAATTTCCTCTTCTTGTGCCAACCGGCGGGCCTCACTGCGGACAGCCTCGTCCTCTTGTCGACGCCGGCGCATCTCGTCATTCTCCGAGGCGCTGGTATATGAGTGTCGGCTGTCATATGAGCTGGTAGAAGAAGTCTGACGACGGTGTTTCTTCTTTCGTCCACCGTCTTGGAATTCAATGTGAATGCGCGCAGCATCCCGGCCATGGCGTGGCCGCTCGTCCACAATCATTGGTCGTCTGGACGAAGCTCCGCGAGGGGATGTGTCCTCAATAAACGGCGCGGCGTTCGCAAAGCTCGGAGATGAAGGAGCAGTCCGAGGATATGTAAATGCTGTAGGCGGTGTTGACGGGGTTGGTGGGTTGTGGACAAGTACAGTTCGCCCGTTCTGTTCATAGCGGCTAGAGCTGGATTCCATTCTCGGGGTCATGTAGACGCTCCTCCGTCTGCTGCTGCTTGTGCTGCGGTATGATCGGTCTGACTCGTCGCCGGAGCGGTGTGTAGGTGTGGAAGCGCGAGGTGAATAAGAAGGAGTGGGCGGATAGGTGCTATAGTATTGAGGAGCGTAGGTAGCCGGGCTAACAAAGGGAGGAGCAACTGGGTGACCATATGAAACAGACTGTGTGCCGTGCTTGAAAATGATGTTCTGGGAGCACGGCTGGCCATGGCGGGACGAGGGGCAGAGCGCAGGCTTCTTTATAGTCTCCTTGTGGCCGTCCGGGTAAACGTATGTGTAGCAATCGGTGGTGCACATTGTGATGGTCGTGAACGCAGAGGGGCGACTGTCGCAAGTATGTTCAAGGGCTGTCCCTGAATGAAAGGTGCCTCTAAGAGGCTATTTGTCCTGAGGCGTAGGGGTGTGTTGATGCCCCAGTGAATCTTGAGGTATAACAATGGCAGATTCCGATTTGATGTGAATCAAGGCTGAGCACCTTTGATGAGTGTTCCTTGATGATGAAGTGAACAGTGGAGGATGTGTTCTAGTTGAGGGAGAGGCAGTCGACGTGATATATATATGGGGTAGATCTTTTCTTTTGTATTGAGCTGACAAGTCTATGTGGGCCAGCTGAACAAATAGGTGGAATTGGAAAAGCTATGCTTCTGTGGTCTTGCAGACTTGTCGGTAGTCAAGAATGTGCCTTGCAACGATGTTTTTCAGAATTGGATGAGATGCCTGAGGATGTATTATGAGGAGGAAATTTGTAGCTGCCTGGAATCCGAGATGGGCGGCATCGTAGCTGTTTATACTTCGTAATGAAGGAGAAAATAATGTGTGACGGATGGTGTAAGTGGCAGATGGCAGCGAAATCCGACAGGTGTGGTGGGCTGGACATGGGTCGCCTTTGACAGGGATCAACGGTTTGGTTCCCTCTCTCAACCCTCGTTGACATGTTCGCACTACACACCCCAGTTCGGTTCTGCCTGTTAAGGCTGTCTGGCTTTGATTATGACTCCCTGTCAGAGCTGGTGGAGCGCTGATGACTACCATCTTCCAATGGTGTTGCCGTTGCTGCCGTCTCCGTCTTCTTCAAACTGTTCTTTACAATTTTTAACCCCGTCTTGTTGGTGGGCGGTAAGCGGGAACATGCAAGACATATAAAGATTATATGAAGACTGGCGAACGGAATGATGTCGAGCTTGCCGAGAAGTTATATGAACCAGCAATCGAATTCTCGCTGTAAGGGTTCGAAACAGACACGAACTCCTGGGTCTCAAGGCTGAGGCCCTAGGCGATGGGGGGATGAAAATAGACAGCCTGGATTGGGGGCGGCGTCGTCTTCCACCGTGTCTATTGGGAGGCCGCATCTCAGGTGAACATGACGTTGGCCAGAATCCAAGGCCATCTGCGAGGGTGGTGCAGAGCAAAGGATATGGGGAGACGAGGGATATGCTTAGTGCCCATCTTGATGCTGCAAATAATTGAGCGGCCTTTGTCTGGCGCTTCCTCAAACATGGCCCTCTATCGCGACCACACCAGTCGACGAAACGACGGCGTGAGAGCCGATGACCGACTCTGTGGTGGTTTTGACCTAGCATCATGCGGCTCAGCGAATTGAGTCACGTCGGGGTGGCTGTCCTTCAACGGCGATGTGGCCCGCGGGGAGATTGGTCCTACGCCCTAATGCAGCGAAGGCCTGCATGTCGCAGTTTTCCTTAGTGCCGTGCAGTCTGCATTTGGTCATGGGTCTTGAGACTCTCGCCACCACAACTTGTCGCAGTGTCTCATTGTCCCTGGCTCAGTCGTCAAAGTGCGGAGTGGCTCGCGCAGCAATTCAACGGGCCATTGGTTCCCGTCGCGGGCCTTCGCGGGACAAAGGCGAAAAAGGACAAGATGGGATTTGTAGTGGGCATTGATTCGAGCATGGCGGCAAGGGTGGTAGGGCGTGTAGGCTGAGATGGTGGATACTAAAGATGGCTCGCTGAGCATATGAGTGGTTGGGTAGCCATTCCCATGCCATGTGCCATCAGCCTTCAGCCTTTGGGGGCAGTGCTGCCTGG